TCTTTCCCTTTTTTTCCAAAGGGGGTGGGGGGCGTTGAGTTGGTTTGTAGTGAAAAACTGCAGAGAAGGGAGGAGGTAGAATGAACATTTCCCCCCACCTTTCATGTTTTGCTGGTTCCTAATACAATGCTTTGTAGGATAACATGATGTTTAGTTATGTAGATTGCAACCTAGTGCCTTCTTTCCCATATGATTCATAATTTCATATCTGCAGTTCTGCTCTTATAATCTCTATTTCTAACTCCAACTTAAGAAGTCAGCTATTTAAGGATTTATTTTAAGATTAAAGTAGTATTTAATTTAATTCATAGACATTGTGTACTCATTTATGCTACTAAATTTTCTGCTAATTTTCCTTTTTAGCAGGTGATTGATACAGGACTCTTTGATCTGATAGTTTAGTGTTGGTTCATGATTTGACATGGATTGTTAGTGTAATTCTATGATTTTTGTGTTAATTGTGGAGAGTTACTTTACATTTCTGCGTCAATTGGGTTGTGGTGATGGCTAATACAATATCTATCATTCTATTGCTGATGGGAAAAATATTATCTTGCCTTTGATTATGGTTGTGGATATCATAATATATAACCTTGAGAGTTGTGTTTTGGTTCTGAGCTTTTCAAATTATTATTTCCTACTTGGCCTATAGGCATTCAATATTACTTTGGCAACAGCAGGACCTGGAAACAATGAGTGATAGGGATAACCATCTTTTTGGATGAGATGAATTAAGAAGATATTAATTTGTATGACCAATTCTTTTTGTCTTGTTGTTTGTGTTTGTTTTTCCTATTTCAAATTCTCTTCTTTTTAGATTCTTTTATGTAAGATGCTAATCCTAATTGTTCTTGCATGGATGTTGCATTTGGTATTTGTTATTGATCTTTAATTAGAATCCAAATTTCTAATTTTCTTTTGATCTTAAAGTTTCTAATTAAGCTGATCACTGTTATTATAAATAGAAATGATTGAAGCATACACCTGTATCAACATGTGGGAATGTCATTAGTAGTTAAGCCAGAAAAACTATAAAATGCTGTCAACTTCTGCCGCTGCTCAGCTTCCAAGTTGCTGGTACCGCATTCCCAGCCATCTTAACGTCCATCATCATGCCCAACAAAGGAGAAAACTCACCACTCTATCATTTGCCAATGCAGATAGCCAAATCACCCTCAGAAACTTCTATGGCCTAAGTCTTCCTCAGACCCACAATTGCAGCAAAGGGCAAGAAGGCAATAACAGGGCTAGATACAATTCCAATTTAAATCAGAACCACAAACACTTACTATTTCTACAGTACTTCCCTCATAGTGATACAGAAGACACCAATAATCAAAATCCAAGAACTAGAAACCACTATCAGCATCAAGTAGACGAACAAGGAGAATTCAAGGAAAATAACAAAGCCAGGTTACTTTTCACAAACATGTGGTGGGTAGATGTGAAAGCAGCACTTGGCCAAAGAATCAACTTGGAGGGCATTCTATGTTCAACCATGGTCATCTTAAAAGACCCAAAATTGGCACTACCCCATATTTCCGTTCCTGATATAAGGTATATTGATTGGGCTGAGCTGCGTAGAAAGGGATTTAAAGGTGTTGTCTTTGACAAGGATAATACTATTACAGCACCTTACTCTTTGAAGCCCTGGCCTCCACTTGAGTCTTCATTGCAGTGTTGTAAATCAGAGTTTGGTCATGATATTGCTGTATTCAGTAACTCCGCTGGTAATTAGTTTGAAGCATTTTAAATTGTTCTGAATTTCACACAGCCACCAAAGTGATGTGCTGTTTTATTGTGTTGTGAATCAGGACTTCATGAATATGATCATGATGGTTCAAAAGCTAGGATGCTTGAAAGTGCAATTGGAATTAAAGTCATCAGACATAGTGAGTGTTGCTTTTTTGTTTAAGAGCTATAATTATTTCTAAAATATTTCTTTTATCTTGAAACTGGAAAGTACATGTTATATTTTGCTCTGTTTAAAGTGCTAGGACAGTGAAATATTTCCTTGGGAGTATGACTTTAGTAGTGATGTTGATTGATGTGTATGCGTGCTTCAGGGGTGAAGAAGCCAGCTGGTACAGCCGAAGAAATAGAAAAACATTTTGGTTGTAAAGCTTCACAGCTGATCATGGTAGATAAGAATTTCGTAGTTTTCACTTTCTTTCAGCTGCATGTTTTGTAGTTTGATTCATATTTAAGCCATAATATTTGTGGTAGGTGGGTGATCGACCCTTCACTGACGTTGTTTACGGCAATAGGAATGGATTTCTAACTATTTTGACAGAGCCATTGAGTCTTGCTGAGGAGCCATTTATTGTTAAGCAGGTTTGTTTTTCATTTTGCATTTCATCTTTTGTGTTCTAAAAGTATGTGTGTGATTGATTTTTCTTAATAATAGAGAAATTTCATTAACAAAAGAAAATGAGAAGTTCAATTTGACAGATCCTATAAACAAAAGAAAAAATTAAGATAAAATCACTCTTGCTTAAAAGCTCCCACACCTCTTTAATAGACAACTAATGAAATTCTAGTAAAAATGAGAAGAGGAGTGCTAGTAACACATTCTTTAACACACTCCTCTTAATACAATATCTCTTATTGTTTAGGTTTTTTTGAAAATCACAAAATCATGAGCATTAAATACGGTGTGGGATTAAGTCCCCCCAGATTTTGTATCTTTCAACAAATTTCAACCAGTTAGAGAGTGTGTTTAAAAGAATGTGTGGTTCTAGTGTGTGAACCGATACCTTTCTATGCATCAACGAGAAACTCATTGTACTGTTATATATTTGATGCGATTCAATGAGTCAATGGGAAGTCGGAGTTAGCAGTTCTCGTGTATAACTTGCCAGACAAGGCGCTGTAACTAGCTTTCATATCTTGATTTGAACTGTCCAAAAGTGTCTCGACTCATGAGGAGTCATATGTAATACATGAATAATGAGCAACTTGCCAGACTCTTGTTGAATATGTTTCTACAACTTTCCTGGTCTCAAAATCTGATTGACATGTTTTGCTAAACATCAGACAAATTTTATTTATGGAGATTAATGAATTTGTTATGTTTTATCTCTATAAATTCATTTGAAAAAGTAAGATGAATGCAATAACATTCGTTTCTGATAACCCTTGTTATAATAATTTGTGATGATAGGTGAGGAAGCTAGAAACTTCATTTGTAACTTACTGGTCAAGAAGAGGGTTGAAGCCACTAGGTCAGAAGTTATTGCCAGATCCAAAGCCGTGTGTCAAAGAGCCATATCCTTGACAGGACTAATCTCTAAAATACTGCCCTGATTTTTGGCCATCATAAATACTCCCCTTGAGTAATGCATACATGTCAATATTATTTTATTTTATTTTTTTTTAAATTATTTAGTTTACATTTTACCAAATGTGAAATATATTCCCTACCTGCCTTTTATCGGGTGAGTTATCTCCTCTACTTAGTGTGTTTAAATAATTATTTTTGGCTTAAATTCAATTTTAGTCTCTAGTTTCACAAATGTGCCATTTTAGTTGCTCAAAAATCTTAATTGCAAATTTGATCTCTTTTTGTTTTCAAAATTAAGTAATGTTGCTCAAAATTCTTAATTGTTATATTTAGATGTCATTCAAAATTAAATGGAAAATGTTGAGCGTTCCTGAGTGATATTATATGCAGCTAGTTTGCTACGAAGGGAAATAGTATTATTAAAAATTAAAAATGTTTTAATTGATTATAATGTGTAATTGAAATAAAAAAGAAACATTAGTAAAAGCAATGTTCCTTACACCAAAGACAGGGTGACTAAGTAATTTTGAATAATATTGTCAGGCACGTCAATATTTTTGTTTAATTTTGAATGACATGTTAATGATTGAATATTTTTATTTAATTTTGAAAAATTATGTGGCAAATTTGCAAAAAAGAAATTTGGGGACTTGAACTATACATTTGTAAAAGTATAGGAATCAAAAGAGAAGTTAAGTCAATTATATTTAGAAAATAATTGTTTTTTAATCAGATTTATAATGATTTTTATTTTAAATTTCTAAATAACCGATTATTTTTTCAGAAAAATCTTTTACCATACATGCTATTAGTTTTTTTGTACCCTCAAACTAGGAACAGATAAATTATAAAATGAATTTTATAAATTTCTAAAGATTTTTCACCCTTTTTTTTAATGCTTCATCCAACGACTTTTTGGTCGATATAAATTGAAAAAATATCAAAAATAAATTTTTTAAAAAATTATTTACTGAAATAAATAGCTTCTATCACACTGGAAGTAGGAAATGAAAATCACATAGGAGTATACATTTTCCATTTTAGGCAAATTTGAAGCGAAAATGCATACATTCTTGTATGTTTTCAATTCAAAATTTTTCTGAACAGAAAATATACACCCTTTATGTGTTTTTTGTTATAGGATTTTTTTGAAATTGAAAAAAGAATTAAATAAAATAATATTTATTTTATTGTTTAATTATATATTTATTTTTTTACAAAATATGTATATTGTAATATTTATTATTTTATGAAATTATGTATGGAAAATATTTAATGTTGATTTAATAATATTACACAAATAAAAAATTGATATAACACTTAAATGATTTACATTTAGTTGTTCAGTATACGTGAACAATTTGATCTATTGTGGCCTTCAATATGACAATGTCCACAACGTTGTTTATGTTGTGACTTTGTCCAATCGATTTCGTTGCATATACAAGTTGATTATGGTCGTGTCTTTGCACGCAACTTGGAGCGATAAGAACAATATGTGAGTCTTGACTTGGTTGTATGTTGGCATCATTACCAATTGGATACCATTGTTCTGAATAGGCTTGAATTATGTATTGGTTTGAATAAACTAGATCAATATAATTGTACGAATTGACACGTTCATATGCACAAACAACGATGACATGTGAACAAGGATATTTGTATGCTTGAAAAATACCACATTCACAAGTTTGATCGTTAAGCATTACTATCGAAGTTTGTCCACCCTGTTGAGTTAGTGATGCATGCTTCTTCAACCTCAAATCTTGTGACTTCATAATCAAATCTACGAACAATATGAGACGTGCATCTTCTTGATTTTTTTTTGCATTGTCTCTATTAACTTATGACAGTATTGTTCTCCTCTTTAACACGTCGTCACCACTTCACCACGTTTTTGATAGAAGTACTCTACTAGTCTAGAATACTTGCATTTAACTAGAGTAGTGATAGGCAAATTTTGAGCCTCTTTTAATATCTTATTTATGGTCTCTAACAAGTTTGTTGTCATGTAATCATACCTGTGAACATGCTCATCATTTGCAATGCTCCATTTCTCTAGTGAAATGTCATAGATCCATTGACGTATTTTCTGGACTTCTCGAAACTTTTGTAGTCTCGTTTCGAAATAGTGTTTGCAAGCAATGTACCCTATGTACAATGTGACAATAAAGTATATTTGCTAGAAAAAATAGAGTAATATTTGTGTTTAAGTTCAATGTAATTAAATAAGAAATAATAACGTACCTATGTTAATCAACTCTTCTTTTAGCTTGATTTTCTTGAAATAGTGATTGAAGTTGCTAGCAATGTGACAAATGCAATAAACATGGTATGCATTAGGTGGTTGTCAACCCAAACTTGCATTCCCCACGACAGAATTAATACTTTGATGATGATCTGATATCAAGCAAATGTCCTATTTTTGGGTTACATATTGACAAATTTTGGCCAAAAATCAAAATCAATCGCTTAATGTCTCTCCTTGAACAATTGCAAATGTCAGTGGAAGCACTCGAGAATTGTCATCCTAAGTGGTTTCAATTAGAAGAGTGCCTTGATATTTTCGTAAAGGAATATCCCATCAATTTGTATAATGGGTTTAGGAAAATTGAATGCATGATATGCTAGTTTGAATGTCCAAAAGACACGTCTAAATTGTCAAAAGATTTTATGTACTGCACCATTTAAGACACAATCAGTTGTCTCAAGAATGTATGTTGATCTTGGACAAACTTGAAGCATTTTATCAATCCATCTTGGCAATAAATCATATGAAGCGTCCCATTCTCCAAAAACTTTTGATATTTCTTTTTGGTTGGCCTTCCATGCCTTCTTGTATAATATCTTGTAATTAAACTGGCTACTAATTCTTTCTTGTATCAACAAAATGGAGACTGAAACATCTTCTCTAACCATGCCTACAAATAATATACAATATAGTTAATTATGTTTCATATAAATAACATCTAAAATATTTGTACAATAATTGATTAAAATAATAAATCTCACCCAAAATACAACTACATATGAATTCAAAATTCAATTGATTGTGATCTTGAGATAACATTGCATTAATTAAGTGTGTCGACCACCCTATTTCTTGATGACCCATTTATAATTCAACTTACTTGACATTATTGCTCTCATCATTCAAGGACAACCGTCATTGCTATTTGGACATTTTAAAGACAATACCTACAAACCATATTCAATGACACAAAAAGTCTGATGTGTATTCATTGAATAATGTTTTACAGTCATTTGCACATCAGCCTTAGTGTGAAATCTCAACCCAACATAGAGTTCGTTCCCCACACGCCATGAACCAGGGACATCTAAACTAGTAAACCATGTTTCTTGGTCAAGGTGGGACCAATCAATGTATGTGTAATGTGGTATGGAATTCCAAAATGGCGTTTGAATTTGCCCTACAACACAAATAGGGCATGTTAAATGATTTTTTTTTACAATATATAGTACAAAATAAGAATGAGAAAAAAATCACTACCTTGTTCATTATTATAGCAAGAGGTTCTAAGTCAAATGGCGATTGAACAGTTGTTATAAGGTCAAGGTTTGCATCAAAATCACCTTCAATATCTATGTCAGATGAGGTACCATTAAGAATGTTGGCCTCTTCCTGTTCGTCCCCATCATCATTACTTAAGTTTGTTGTAAATTCAACATTCGAATCATAATGATTTGGACGGGGAGAAATAATTTCACGTAGCTATTCTTCAATAACGGGGACATCATATGTGTCTCGCATTGATCTACTGTTAACATGTGAATTAGTCTCATTTGTAATTGCATTAGTCAAAGAAGTTGAAGGACCAACAATATCAAGTTCAACATATAACTAGATCATGCTAGTATTAAATTGGCTTTGAAAAGTGTCAAATATGACCTCGATATCTTCATCATTTGAAATATCATGGCCTTCGTACTTTGGTAGATTAATGGAATGAAGATACCTACATCTGATACTATTAATCACTTGATGGACATGTAATTTTAGTTTATCGTGAAATTTTCTTTTTAAGTAAGAAAAATTAATTCCAGAACTAAGATGAATAGTTTTCATTTGACCAACAAATGATAAACCTTGATCATCATGATATTTATTTCCATTAAAATATAACACACAAATAAAAGACATTTTCAATGAAACATCAAATAACTCTAGATTTCAAACAACCTACAACACAAAATGATAATTTGAATTAAAATTCGAACAAGAAATTTCATTTTGAAGAAAATTAATGAACATAGCATATTCACTAACAACATTGTGAAGGAGAAGTCTGAAGAGGCTGTGTAACTTTGAAGAGGTAATGAAGGAGAAGTTTGAAGATGGTGTGTAACTTTGAAGAGGTAATGAAGGAGAAGTTTGAAAAGAGTGTGTAACTTTGAAGAGGTAATGAAGGAGAAGTCTGAAGGTGTGTTATATTGTTTAAGAGGTACTAAATAAATACTACAAGAAGCCTAACGTGTGAACAATGACGATGACCAATCGATGAGATCTTAGCCATTGATTTTATGGGAGAGATCTTAGTCGTTGCTTTTTCTGCAACATTTGAATACATCCTACAACAAGTCTGACACGTGAATAATGATGATGACCAACTGGTGAGATATCACCTATTGATTTTGTGGGTGAGATCTTAATCGTTGCTTTTTCTGCTACATTTGAATACATCATGCAACAGGCCTGACGCGTGAACATTGATGATGACCAACCGGTGAGATCTTAGCTGTTGATTTTGTGGGTGAGATCTTAGCCATAGCTTTTTCTGCAACATCTGAATACATATTGTAACAAGCCTGACGTGTGAACAATGACGATGACCAATCCGTGAAATCTTAGCCATTGATTTTGTGGGTGAGATCTTAGTCATTGCTTTTCCTGAAATATCTGAATACATCTTGCAATAAGCCTGACGAGTGAACAGTGATGATGACCAACCGGTGAGATCTCACCATTGATTTTGTGGGTGAGATCTTAGCCATTACTTTTTCTACAACATCTGAATATATCTTGCAACAAACCTGATGCGTGAACAGTGACGATGACCAATCAATGAGATCTCACCTATTGATTTTGTTGGTGAGATCTTAGCGATTGCTTTTTCTAGAACATTTGAATACATCCTGCAATAAGCTTGATGTGTGAACAATGACAATGAACAACTAGTGAGATCTTAGTCATTGCTTTTTTT